ATTTGCCGTGCTATACGTTCACTTTCTCTTTCCCAATCAGTAAGAAATTCAGTATTACTTTTCTTATCCTTGTCTTTTTTTCTTTTCTTTTTTTCATCCAAATCATTATCTATTTTTTGCTTTCCTTCTGAGAAATTGTCATCAGATCGCTTCTCATTCAGTTTTTCAATTGCGATAATATTTTTGTCTACTCGGTCCATTTTTTTAAGCTTATTTTGCTCGTCATCCTTTAACTTACTCACATCGCGATTCATTTCCGAAATTTGACTTTCAAATCGTTTACCTATAATTACTGAATTTACTTCCCATTCTTCTAAGAATTTATCTGTAGTTTTGTCTTGACTTTCTTTGTTAACTACAGATTTGTTTTTATTTTCCCATAAATTTTGTTTTTCCCCTTGAACCATTTCCACATTCATTTCTTCTTTAATCTTTTTGGATGCAGATTGCATTTGTAATGTATGTTTAATAGTTGAATCTGAAACCTCATTTATTAATTCTCTGCTATCAATTTCTTTTTCATTCAATACTTTTCTGCTTTTTAAATTCCTTTTGTTTATTTTTTTCCTTTTTCTCCTTTCATCAGATTCACTACTACTCGATGGCGAACTTATTTTTCTTCTACGTCTTTTTTTAATTCTAGCTATTCTTTTTGCTTTCCTTTTTCTTTTTCCAATTTTTCTTTTCTTCCTCCTCTTCTTTCTTCGTTTGCTATCTGAGCTGAAAGACTCGCTACTACTGCTAGTACTACTACTTTCGCTACTATCAGAATCAGATGAACTTGAATCCTGTGATAATTTTCTGTTACGGCGTCGTTTTGTCTTTTTATCTTCAGAATCTGTGGAACTACTACTACTAGATGATTCGCTACTAGATGTCTTATTTTGTAAGCGTTTTTTCTTTCTTCTTCTTTTTCTTGACTCAGAATTTTCATCGCTCAAGTGTTCTACTTTGATCCGAACATTTTCCCAATCGTTAGGTATAGATTCTGACTCTTCTATTTCTTTTTCCTCACAAATAGTTGTATCTTCAAATATTCTTTCATTTTCCTGCATAGGAGCTTGCGAGTTTACTGATAAATTGGAATGTTCAGAATGCTGAAACGTTAGACACGAATTTTCTAGACATTCATTTTCTTGCAATTGTTTCTCAGTTAATACTTCATTAGTAATTTTATTTTGATTTTCACATGCTATACTTTTAGTTGTAGAAAAAGTGTTATATTTATCTTCCAATGATGTTAATTCTATATTAAATTCATGATAATTTGATGGAGATACAGATTTAAGCAAACATTTTTCTGAAGAAAATTTTTGTACTGTTTTTACTGCATCTGGTAAAGGAATATCCGTACACACCATTTTCATGAATTGCTCATATTCTGAAGCTAATTTTTCATTTCCTGCAGATAATAAGATTGGAGATACAGATGCTTTATCTAGAATTTCAGGTTTTATAACATCAGAATTATTCTGATTGTCTGTATTTTCTACATTTCTGCTATTTTCAGGTGAATCAGAAATCGATGTTGATACCTTGTCTCCTAAAAATTAAATTTTCTATCTATAACAAAATTTCTATACTTTTTTTTATATATTACAAATAATATATTAATAATCTAACCTTGTTCAATAATATTCTCTATTTCCATTTGTTTTTCCTCATTTTCTATTTCATCATTTTCTTGTGAAATTTCTTCATCTTCACTATCCCATTTTGATTTTGGTGGTAGTACATTAATGGATAATTGCCATTTTGTGTCACTATTAGGTTTAATTATGTTTATTTTCTTATACCAATTACGAGAACATAATAGTTCTTCATTATCCTCTATGTTGACTCTACAACAATCAACAGCTACTTAGATTATTAAAAACAAAGGAAAAAAATAGAGAAGAAAAAATTTTGTATACTGTATAGATGTTGCATCACATATATCTCGCAGCTTTTCCCGACGATCCAATGTAACAGCCTGAAGTAACTGCTGTTGATTTAATAAAAGAGAAACACGAGGATTTTCACAATAAAGTAATTGCCGTCCACGTTTTGTTAATTTGATAGATTCAGGGGGAAACTCTTTAGGTCCATCTAGTCCTTCAGCAATTAAGGCAGTACGTTTCAAACGATAGTTATTCAACATCAACATCTGATCTAAGTAACGTGCATAATCTTGCACTGTCCTGCAATAATATAAACGTTACTTTTCCATTCTATTTATTTCTTTATTTAATTCTAATAGAACTATAAACTAAACAAAAAATACAAACCTGCTTTTTATGGATCGTTCTGAAATTTCTTGTTTTCTTAATTGAATGACTTCATCCAAAGTTACGCCTGACTTTTTCATTTCTGCCCATGACCCATATTTTTTTATTTCTTTTTCTTTTTCTTTATCTTTCAATTTATTTTTATCTTTTTTACTTTTTACATCTACAGTACTTTCTCGCAAATCATTTTGTTTTTCCTTTTTGTCCTTTGATTCTTCCTTCTTTTCTCTTATTTCTTCTTTCTTGTCTTTATGGCCTTCTTTTTTATCTTTTCCATCATCCTTTTTATCGCGATTTAACTCTACTTTGGTTTCATCTCGTTTACATTTATCATCTTTTTTTTCCTTATCTTTTCTTTGTTGTTCCCTATTTTGAAGAGACGGCTTATAGTAATATTTTTCTTTACTCTCATGCCGTTCTTTTGTTTGTTTATTTACACTTCCTTCTTTTCCTTCTTTATTATGTTGTTTTCTCCTTAAAAACATTTGACATTTTATATATTATACCTTGATCCTTTGCCTTCATTTTATTGCATGATATATAATGAAAATTAAAATAGAAAAATAATTTAATATTTATTTCACATACTTGCGTTCCATCATAGATTTATTAGAAACCCTGTGGGAAGAAACTGTGTCCTTTTGTCTAGACCTTCCTTTCGAATTTCTAGAGGTTTCCCACATTGTTGAATTATGTCTGTTAAAACTTTCTTCTTCCAAACTTGCTATACAAAAACATGTCGAAATTACATAATGCATAAAAATTTATAATTACATGTTATATAAAGTACAATTACCTGCAGCCATGGCTTCAGCCAGTAATAATTTACTTTTAGACTCTTCTCTTCTAATTTCTTCTATTGCCAAAACCTTTTCTTCTAAATAAAAAATATTAATCATGTAATTCTATTTAATATTGAAAAAAAAAAGAGAAAAAGAAAAAAAAAAGAAAAAAAAAAGAAAACTAAATAAATAAAAGATCTATTTCATTTTTATACCTGTTTTCTTTTTTAATTTACTACTATTTGAGTAACGATTGTATGAATGCTGGCTATGTTCTATCTTTGTCTTTAATTTTGTATCGCTGGTATTATCTTCATTGTCTGCATTATCTTTCATAGTACCAATAACTTGCGCTTGAGGTACAGAAGATTTATTTGAGGCTTTTGGTAATACATTAAACTTATTTGCAAATGCCATTAACCGCTTTTTAGCTTGAACTTTACCAAGAACAGGTTTAAGCATTCTTGGACTTTCTAACCTACATGTATCTCCATCACTTGCTTGGCCTTTAGTACTTTCTGGCGTTTCAGGCATCTGTATATCTATTAAAGACATTGAAATATCCGGTGTAGGCTCCTCTGGGGCATAAGCATCCTCAGTTCCAGACATTATGCCTTTTTCCTGAAGCTAGTTTAACAAAATTGGAGGATATAAATGTGAAACATAATAAGATTAAAAGTAAAAGACTACATATATATATATATATATATATATATATATATAAAATATAATTCAAGACTCTTGAAAATTATCTTCCCTTCTGAACATTGTTGTAATTATTTATTAATTTTATTAATAATTAAAACTTCATTTTTATTATAGCCTTATATTTATTTAATTAGGAAAAATTTCAAATTCAGCTTAAAAATATCAAAGCTCTTGCCATAACAAATTCATTGAATAAACATTTATAAAATCTAGTAAACTAAAATAGTAAGCACACTCACTATGTATCTTATTTGTTACACTTACATATTTCTTTTATTGCCAAAAGATTCATAGCTGCACATTACTTTAAAAATTTAATTAATTATTAAACTTCAATATAGAAATGATTTTTTTAATTACATCTTAATGGCAGAAAATAAAAGAAACTTTACTAACTTTACTTTATCACTAAATTACACAAACAAAGAAATTCATATTCAAACAAAAAACATTAAACAGGTTAAGATAAATTTGTATGATTACAGTTTGCTTTTTCCACAATAAAAAATTGTAAAAATATAATTTCATTATTAAAAAAATATTGTTACATAGCAAAAATATTTTTAGATCATAAAGACCAAATATATAATAACGAATCGTGCAAATGATTGTTTCTTACCTTATAACAATATACTTAAGTAACAGAACAATACATTTTTTTGCAAAATTTGTTAAAATATTTTATGAAGTATAACTTTTTTAATAGATAAAGTATTTCTAATATAATATAAGTAAATTTGTTTTTACTATTTTCCAATGTTCAACAAACTTTGCAAATGAAAATCGTCAGACATTTTATTTAAACGACAAGTCGACACTACAAATGAGTACAAACTGTTAGTAGGTTAAAGGGTCTGATCAAATCCGATATCTCCCTTCTATTTAGCTTGGTTCACTGTTTACAGCGCCGCTGGTGGAAGTTCGTTACAATAAGCTTTTATTTGAATTTATTAAACTCTACCAATAAAAAAACTAATATAAAATATGTTCATATATATACATATATATATATATATATATATATATATATATATATATACATAAATACAAATTTCTAACACATTTCAAATACATTTTCAAATAAATATTTAATCATTTTTCTTATAAATAAAAAAATATTTTACTGCGATATATAAAGAACTATTAAATTTATCTTTACAAGAAATAGCTATTAATTAAAATTCAAATGATTAAAATAGCATTGTAATAGATTTGTATAGAATATCAGGCGGGAACTAACGAAAAGTGAGAAATTTGGCGGGAAATTTATTAATTCAACGCCGCCTGGTGTCCTTGTTTTATGTGGTTATATATGTCATAAGTACATGTGTATTCGTATATCTCATATACATTCATATTTTAAATAAATGACGATATTTTTACCATTATTTATTAAATAATAATAAGCAAAACTCTAAACTCTACTTACTCTCAATTTTCATTTTTTATATTTTGTGAATTAAACATTATGGTAAGTAATTAATTATTAAACATAATTAACTAATAAATGAGAATGTAAGTATATAAAATACAACATTTTATTAGATATGCTCAAATACTTATAAGAAAGTAATTAATTTTTATTCGAAAACCTTTTTATTTTTTTTTGTAATTGTTTGTATTTTCTTTTATTATTATTATAGAATCAAAATAGCTCTCCTCCCAGATCCGATAGAAATATGGATGCAATGACATCCCCTGCACCTGATATAGATGAACCTTTTGAAGATGAAAGTGAATTACTTAATGAAGATAATGACGTTAATAATGAAGAAGAAGGAGAAGAATTATTTGGAGATAACATGGAGGCGTAAGATATCATATATGTAATGCAATAATAGATTTATAGATTAAAATATTCATTTTTTAATTATATTCCATATATTGTATTGCACAGTGATTACCGTCCCATGCCAGCACTTGATAGATATGATCCTGCCATGCTCGATGATGATGACTATTCTGAATTATCTCAAGGAGAACGTATAGCAGCTGAAATAGAAATGCGAAAGAGAGATCGCGCAGCTGGAATTATAAGAGATGATAGAGATTTACTTTATGGTAAATTTATCTCTATATCATTACATTATTTATAGAAATATTTATTTTTACCTTTAGTTATAAAGATTGTATAATTATTAAATACTCTTATATTCATATATTATAATACAAATTTAATGAATAAATTTAGATGATACCGATGAAGATGAAACACAAACTCACAAGCGACGCATGGCTGAAAAGGCTGCTACTGGTGAAATTGATGACATAGAGGTAAAAATCTCTATTTATTATTTATTCTATAAATATTATTGTTTATATTATTGTTTAGAAAATCTATTTTTGATATTAGATGATAGAATCCATAGAAAACTTAGAAGATACAAAAGGCCATTCTATCAAAGAATGGGTCACAATGTTAGGACCAAGAACAGAGATCTCCAATCGTTTTAAGAGTTTTTTACGTACTCACACAAATTCGAAAGGACAATATATGTACAAAGAACGTATTCGTCACATGTGTGAAAGCAATCAGGTAATGGAATAAAAACATCTTTTTTTTTTGTATAATTTTTTATATATTGGTTTTTTTATAATTAATTTTGATAATAGTCTTTTAATTTTTACAAATTTTATTAATAGTCCAGCTTTATTGTGGAATTCCCCATTCTTGCAAGTAAAGAACATGTTTTAGCTTATTTTTTGCCAGAAGCTCCATTTCAAATGTTACAAATATTTGATGAAGTAGCCAAGGAATTGGTATTAACTATTTTTCCTAGTTATGAAAGAGTTACAAGTGAAATTCATGTTAGAATATCAGAACTTCCATTAATAGAAGAATTACGTACATTTAGGTAAAAACTAAAATAGTTGCTTTCATTTCATAAATTTTTATAAATTCTTTTTATAAATTTTATATAATATATATTTGTATTCCTTCCAATATTATTTGACATATGTTGAAAATACAGGAAGCTACACCTTAATCAATTAGTTCGAACTCTTGGTGTTGTAACTGCTACAACAGGAGTGCTTCCGCAATTATCTGTCGTTAAATATGATTGTTCTAAGTGTGGATATGTTCTTGGTCCTTTTGTACAATCTCAAAACTCAGAAGTTAAACCAAGTTCATGTCCAGAATGTCAAAGCTTTGGTCCTTTCATGGTAAGCATATATTTTGTTTTAAAAATGTAGATCATTTTTAACATATTTTGGTAAATTATTTTTAGATTAATATGGAACAAACAATATACAGAAATTATCAAAGAATAACAATTCAAGAATCTCCAGGTAGAGTACCTGCAGGCAGAATACCAAGAAGTAAAGATTGTATTTTATTATCTGATATTTGTGATCGATGTAAACCAGGAGATGAGATAGATCTTACTGCAATATATACTAATAATTATGATGGTTCTTTAAATACAGAACAAGTAAATTATATATTCAATACAATTTATTACTAAATAATAATGCTTTATTATATTTCTTAAATCGTTGTTATGAATTATATAAACAATTATAATTGTTGATCTTGACCAGGGCTTTCCAGTGTTTTCTACAGTATTATTGGCTAATTACTTATTTGTGAAGGATTCTAAAGAAATTGTAGAATCTCTAACTGAAGAAGATATTGCTAGTATTCTTGCTTTGAGTAAAGATCATCGTGTTGCTGATCGAATTGTTGCAAGTATTGCTCCTTCCATATATGGACATGAATATATTAAACGAGCACTCGCATTAACCATTTTTGGAGGAGAAGCAAAAAATCCTGGTGAATAAATTACAAATCTTAAATAAATTAATTGCAGTACATAAAAAAAAAGAAAAAAAAAAAGAAAAAGCTTGTATTTGCATTACTTGAGATATCCTTTTATTTTAAAAAGGTAATAAACACAAAGTAAGAGGAGATATAAATGTCCTAATCTGTGGTGATCCAGGAACAGCTAAATCTCAATTTTTAAAATACATTGAAAAAATAGCACCGAGAGCAATTTTCACAACAGGTCAAGGGGCTTCTGCTGTAGGTTTAACCGCATATGTACGTAGATCACCTACTACACGAGAATGGACATTAGAAGCTGGTGCTTTAGTTTTAGCAGACCATGGTGTTTGTCTAATTGATGAATTTGATAAGGTAATATATAAGATATATACTATGTAAGGCAATATATTAGCTATATATTGTATTATTTAAAATTATTATTATATTTGTAGATGAATGATCAAGATAGAACATCTATACATGAAGCTATGGAACAACAAAGTATCTCTATTTCAAAAGCAGGGATCGTTACATCATTGCATGCTAGATGTTCAGTAATAGCTGCATCCAATCCAATTGGAGGCAGATATGATGCTAGTATGACCTTTTCAGAAAATGTAAAAAATTACTTATATTTAAAAATTACCCTTTATAAAGTATGTCATATATGAGTTTATATTTTGGATCATTGTATTGCAGGTAGATTTATCAGAACCAATTATTTCCCGATTTGATGTACTGTGTATAGTTAAGGATGAAGTGGATCCTATGCAAGATAGACATTTGGCTAAATTTGTAGTAAATTCACATATTAAACATCACCCAACTAATTCAGAAAAAACAGTACCAACAGAATCAGTGGAGACAACACAAAATCTTCCTATTCCTCAAGATCTTCTTAGAAAGTATATTGTTTATGCAAAACAAAACGTTCATCCTAAATTAACTAATATTGATCAAGATAAAATAGCTAAATTATATAGTCGTTTAAGACAAGAAAGTTTGGTAAGTTGAAATAGTGTAGCAGTAAAGAAATATAAAATCTTTTACACCTATATGCTGTAAATAATTTACTAAACTAATTTTTTAAACTAATTTAAAAACCACCAATACTGCATTATTTTTTAGGCTACAGGAAGTTTACCTATAACAGTACGACACATTGAAAGCATAATTCGTATGGCCGAAGCTAGTGCAAAAATGTATTTACGAGATCATGTACAAGAAGGTGATATTAATCTTGCCATTAGAATGATTTTAGACAGCTTTGTTGATACACAAAAATACTCTGTTATGAAAAGCATGCGGCAGGTATGTAATTGTGAATGTAGTTGCAGTTTTAACCAATACTCATGCAAATTATTTTACTCTTATTTTATAATTACTTACTGCTTCTTTTTAAATTTGCATTAACATGTTATTATTGCAGACATTTCAGAAATACTTATCATACAAGAAAGATCATAGTGAACTTTTGTATTACATACTTCGACAAATTACATTGGATACATTAGCATTCCAAAAAGCCTTGCATGGGAATAGAATTACAACTCTTGAAATATCGGAAAAAGATTTATTGGACAGGGTAATACAAACTATATTGATTGGAAAAATATATAAATGTGATAATAAAATACTGCGTATACTTGTAGCTATTTATAATATTTATAATAAATCAGAGATTATATTAATTTTATTAAAAATTTTCAGGCTAAACAGATTGACATACATAATTTACATCCATTTTATGAAAGTGATATTTTTAAAACTAATAATTTTGTATATGATTCTCGAAGAAAGGTAATTATTCAAACTCTTCCTGAAACTATCGATGACTGAGGAATTCATGAAATATTTAATTATTTTAAATAATACTTCATAATTTTTTTATCATGAATGCATTTTTACGAATTAATAAAATTTTACTTTGTAGACATTTTATATGTATTCATGTAACTGTTTATATAACTATTTTAATATTAAATAATTGTAAGTGAAATATTTACCGAATTACATAAAGTTTATTTTACATTATACATTTGTCTTAAAAATTTACTTTTGTCGGTATTATAATAACGATTTCACTCTAAAAAAAAAATAAAATTACATAGCCATATATTGCCAAAAATATTATTTATATATTTGTACTAATATTAAAAATATATTTTCTTTTCTAGTAGGGCTATATTTTTTTCTTAATTAAATTAAATTTACTAAGTATAAAATTGACTACAGATTTATTTTCATATTAAAAAGAAGCAGTTTGAAGAAAATGTTGATCATTTTTCAAATTGATCCTTCTTACACTCTCTTAATCTAGATGTAATGAAATTATTAGATTACAATATTTTAATAATTAAAATATGATATGGCGGAGTGCTAACAAAATATTGCTGAATTACATCTTTCGACGTGATAAGCGCGTTGTATTGGCTGCGAATGTGCTTTGTTTTGAAAAGAAATTGAATCACGAAAGTAGCGTGAATTTTTGATGCATGATTTCAATGAGCCGCAATCGATTACTGTGAAAAGCGATCGATGTAAAATTCCGAAAATGCACATGGAATTGAAGTTGGAATTGAAATAGTAGCCCAAGACGAAGCGTGAAACAAAAGAAGAGATGAGCGATGAGTAATTGAGATCAGAGTGTACAAGAAATAGAGCGAGTAGTGTAAAAAATCGGAGTGTCATTGGACTTTAGAGAAGTAACATCGAGAGCGTGCTAATAAAGATAATATATTTTTTTTAATTTTTCGAACCCAAAGCTCTGGTACCATAAGGATCCTACAAAAATACATTTAAAAGTCAAGTAATAAGAATTATTATTTCAAATTTATATTACACTTAATTGTTTCTTATGTGTTAATTTCACACTTAACACATTTAAAAAAAAAAAAAAAAAAAGGAGAGAGAAAAAGAGAACATTTCATTAGCAAATAATTGATAAATTTGTAATAAAATATGTAATATATAAGAGATATTAAGGATATTCCGTAATGTCGTCTTGTGTTACTGACTAAAATAGAAAAACATATATAGTACTTTTCAGAGAAAATAAAAAGTGCTATTTTACAAAAATAAGCATATAGTATATCAGGAATATTGATTATTAAATATATCACATATTTTAGTGTGAAGAGTTACTGCTACTGCTGCTACTGCTACTAGAAACACTATCATTCGAGTCTGACTCACTGTCCGAAGAAGAACTGCTACTACTACTTTCACTACTGCTACTAGAACTGCTACTGTCAACACTAGAAGAGCTTGTATCACTGCAACTACTTGATTCTTTTCTCATTTTTTTTCTCTTCTGTCCGTGAGACTTCTTAACTTCCACTTTTTGTTCCTTTCTGAAAATAAATGATAAGTTCTACGTTGTCTTTATAAATCTTAGTGTCTGTGTATATATATATATATATATAATTTTTTAAAAGTATATACATTTCTTCTTGTTTTTTTAAAGCTCTTTTAAGTTGTACAGTACGAGAAGATCTGTGTAGATATTTCCGTTTCCCTTTACATTCATAACTCCAGTGTCCAAATTCCAAACATTTTTGACATCGCATTCCTTGAGGAGATAGATTGCTACAATTAAATAAAATGTTAATAAAAAATAATATAATATGATCATAAATCCATATTAACATTAAACTCACTGAAACAAATATAACAACAGAATAAGCCAACATATTAATAAATAATATATATACAAAATCTACTAACGTTTTCTTTATTACTTCAATTTTATTCGAACTCATTTTCTCTTTATGATTATTATTTGATATTTATCAGAATTAATTAAAATTTTCATATAGCATCGATAAATTTCGATAAGTTTATTTACAAATAAAGAAAGATTACTTCGAGAGGTTATTCCACAGATATTTTGTGTGAAAACAAAAGTGGGGATAAATATGAAAGGAAATGAAATGTTTATCTTTAAGTTGGTAGATGGCGGTATTTGATAAATTGGCGCCATTTCATAAATTTATTTTGTAATACAAATATGAATAAATACATATTTATATATAATGATATGAAAAAATAGATTCTTATAATTGTATAGTAAATGCTTTAATTCAAACGAAATTGTAAATAGAATAAAAAATGAAGTTCCTGTGAATATTGAAATAAATATTATAAAAGACATGATGGATATGTTTGAAGAAAGTTTTCGACAGAAAAAAATACAATTAAATAATACAAACATTGAATTGGTAAGCGATTTATAGAAAATATAAATAATTTTAATATATTTTTATATCTTGAAATTTATTAAAATATAGTGTAAGATATTTTTTTTAGAATAATACTGACCAAGAAAAATGGACTATAAGAGATCAATTTTGTTGTCAAGTGTGGAAATTTTCACATGATCATGACTTTTCAAAAGTTTTTCAACATTATCCGTATATTATAAATTCAATTAAACCTCATAATTGTTCTTATATTAATGAAGTTAAAAGTATTAGAAATGAAAACGATAATAGAGCAGGTCGCTAATTATGAATAAAATTGATAAATTAAATAATATTTTTCAAACAGTCAATATTATTTTTTCATTGATATGTCAGTAACACAGTAAATGCTTTTTCGTGTTTATATAGATATGCAAAATTATGAAAATATTCAAAAGCTTTCAGAAGAAATTGCTATTTTAACAAAAAAAATACTTACTATTAATATTAATAGAAATACACAAGAGATAACAATAAAAAATTTGTCCATAAAATTAGAACAATTAAAATTATTTTCAGAAGAAATGATGGAACTTCTTAGGTATATTTTAATAGTTATTTCAATATATTAATAGTTATTAGATACATCATCTAATTTATTTTTGTACTTGTCTATAATGGAGGAATTTGACTTTCAATTACTTTCAGGTTAATATCTACTACTGAGAATTTAAGTGATAATAAAAAATGTAAAAATAATGGTAAATATATGTACATTTTTACTCTGCACATTTTCATTCAATTTTTTCAAATATATTACATCGAATAAATGGTATTTATCAATAAACTTTGTAATTATGCAATATATATATACACATATATATACATTAAAATATATTATTAACTATAAATTAATATATAGATTTAGAATGCAAAAATAACAACTTGATAGTTCGTGCAAATAAAGATAATATGCTGACATTTACTACGGCAAAAAAACTTCTTGAGCAATCCAAGTCACGTTCACCTGTTTTAACTAAAAACAATAATACAAGATCAAAAACAATGGCTGTAAATAATAACACGATAGAACATTTCATTGAAGTAAATATAACTTTTTTATACAAACACATTATTCATAAATGTTATATCAATCAAAACCGATTGAAATAAATTTTAAATGATATCCCACTTATTTATTTTGCAGTATGATAAAAAAGAATTAAAAACCAAATTTTCATTAAAAATACAAAGTAATATATCCATAAAGTTTGAGCAAAATCGACGTCTTAAAGAAAAAGAGAAAAAATATTAATATATCTTTCTTACATTAAACTTTTGAAATATTTCTGATAATTATATATCTTTATATTTTTTAATTATTGTATAATTGTTATTCCACATAAAAATAATTAAAAGTTTAATTACAATAATTCATAAGATAATGCCATTTATCCAGTCCTATAAAATTTTTCTTAAACAATCAAAACAGTAATTGAAATGTGACAGTGCATTTAATATACATCCTGTATAATAAAAAGTATGCAAAAAATAAGGCATTTACTACATAGTATATTTATATATTTAGAAATATTTATACAGGATTCTATATGATTATATAATATACACTGAATTACATTTTTTAAATTATACACATAATATTGCGCCCAACGTACCATTCAACACAATTTGAGAATAGCCATATTCTCTATTACCAAACAGCATTTAAACTAGCGACTTCTAATCCATAGGTTTTTGTTACTTATTTATTTTAAAACTGTTAAACAGTTTATCACAACAAATTGTATTGTAATATTAATATTGGCAATATACACGTGTATCTGTAATACATGCAGGTCCTTACAATTTTCATTAAATTTGAGTTTATGTTAATTAAATGCTTGTTAAAACAATATTACATAATATCTACATAAATATTTGTGCTTTAATATTAATTTATTTGATATTAGTAATATAAATTACCTTCCTTAAAGGAATTTTAACTGAATAATTAGAGTAAATAATGCAATTAAATTGCTTTATAAAAATTACAGTTAAAGAAAAAATATCATATATATGTATAAAATAGTATCTAACTGTAATAATATTCTTTGAGAAGACTTTTTTATTTTGTTAAGTATTATGAAGATAAATTATTCATAAAGTATATCCTTACCAAAACACTAATGCATACATATACAGAATTATATGAATTTTATAACAAAATATGATTCTAAATATTAATATGATAATACATATTTAATTAGTAATAGCATAGAAATTCTTTCATTTAATTATATTTGAATTTTCTGTATTCCTTTGTTCTATATTCTACATTTCTTTGTTATTGTAATATATGATACAAACTTTGAAAAATATTTACCAAAATAATTCAATAGCATGTCATTATCACAACCATTTGCTGTAACAATGATATTACAATATATATGTCTACAGAAAAGTACAAGTTAAAATAAAATTATCATTTATTAAAACATTTAAACTTTAATCAAAGTTCTTCAATATTTTTCTATTGTAAAATGAAAAATAAATGAAAGTTAATTTCACACATATTTATTTTCTAAATTAAATATTAAACAATACAGAAAGAGTCCGATGCTTTGCATATACTTCCACAGACAATAGATAACAAATAGAATTATATTTACTTTCCACACATCTATGCACTTACATAAATGTAAATAGCTATATTCAACAGAATTTGAAGTTGAAATACAATCAAATGTATAATTTAATGTGTACGGACGTAATATGTTGCCTAAAATAATATTTATGAGTACACGGAATCATATTTATAAAGCATGTTAATGATTAAATAATATTTTTAATTTATTAATAAAATTATATTGGTCGATTGAAGTCTTACACTTAAGTTATGAATAATCTTACATTAGAAGAAAAAAAACAAGAAAATAATATTTAAGATACACATATAAAGATGAGCACTATTGTTAAGAGAACTTCTATGCAATATTATTGTATTGCTCATATATTATCTATTGTAAGAAGAATAATGTTGATAACAAATCATAAAATGTAATATGTTCAATATGTTAATCATAAAAGCTTTTTGATGTGTAAATAGCAAAACACCATAAATTTGACTCTTGCACAACACGAAATCTGCAAATATCAGAATTAAGATAAAATCTACACAAATAAGAATATTATAGTGTTATTAATATAATCTTATTTATATAACATCAGCCAAAGAGCTAACAATATATTTGTCTGTAAATAACAATATAATGCACATATGGATATTCATAAGAACATTTGTATACAATTACTTAACACTTATATTGGCACTATGTCTCTGTGTACAGTCAAGAGAATATTGTAAACAATAAGAAAAATACAATTTTATGCTCGTGTGTACTTAATATTTATTATTATATTAAATGTTTATGTTTGGCAGCATTAACCCTTGTCATGATAATGTATTGTAATTATTAATTTTACAATCTAGACTGAACATCATGTAATGATTATTATAATAACTAAAAAAAATTGAAATGATTTTTATTATACTTTGAAAATGCTACATATGCTCCTCAATGATACTCTCTTTAATACCTTGTCATAACATATGCGTGTAAATGCGTGTATTAAAATAAATACTCTAGTCCGTTTAACGATATAAAATCAGCAATTTATAATTTGTAATACTTTCAATATTAAAAATTAATGAAACTATTATTATAAATGTCTCTTGACTGACACTACATGATAATACATAAAATATGTTACTTCTAGTCTAAATGCTTTCAGCAACTATTTATTATATTTATTAAAATAATGTTACAATTTATAATTTTATGCTTTGTATATAATAAAAGGTAGATACTGTGTATGTCAAATATTCATAAAATTTAAAGAAACAGATTTAAGATTTAGAAGCTTACAATAAAATTGTTACCAAATAAAAACTTTCATAAAATATGAAATAATAATTGTAATTACAACTTTTATTTTCCTTATTTTTAGAATCAGTATACTTATGTCTATAGCTGCATATATATTTATACTGTCAAAAATAAAAAAATAATGTGCTGTTTAGCATATTTTACTTAAATTAGATAAATAGATCTCTTTTAGTCATCAGAAGAATACCTCTGTCTTGAATCTCTTATGTTTAATTTTATACCTGATAAAATGACAATATGTTTGTATTCGCAAAAAGAACAAGATGGTTAGAAGTAAATGTAATGTATATGGTGATAAAAATTTAAACACCTCTAGAAATTTGTAATACATGTATACAATCGGCAAAATTGTGTTCAATGAAATAACAATACAATATAAGAAACAGTGTGATATCATTGATGTCGATTCTTAATATTTCTTTAATCATGTAGTATAAAGTAGAATCAACATTCATTTGATATTACAAATTTGTAAATTTTAATCAAACATATTAATACTCAGCCTCATAAATATTGCATATATAATAAAAAAAAAATTAGAACAGAAGTACATTATCTCTAATATTTTGGGAAGATAAAATTTATGCATCCAACTTTTTTACTTTTTTAACATATTAATATTATAAACCTTTTGCTTTCGCACAATTTCAGGCATAGACTTTGTTCTTACGCATTACCATATTATGTTTCCAACTCTCTTAAACATAATCAAAGATAAATAAATAAAAATAAAAAGAAGCTGTTAATTTACTTATCATTAGACTTTAAATCATTTAATTATGTTTTAAAACATCACATAACATAGGAAATACTTCAAGGATAAACGCAATTGAATTTCATATATTCTTAAAAGCTTATATGCAGGATTCTATTATGATTAGACATTTTTACATATTTTTTGTACTAACAATGTTATATAAGTGTGATTCATGCTATCGTAGTATCTAAAATAGCTCATCATTTATTTGCAAAATAAACTTCCAATTCAGCACCAGTTACATATTAAATGTATATGTTCCTCTTTATATTGAAAACATTACAAATATGTATTATCCATTTTGCAACAATAAAAATATTGCTCACTTTATACAATGCATATCAGTAACATTAATACGTTGTTATTTAAGTGAGATCATTATAATATCATACTTTGTATCACGTGCATTAAGAATCGACATCTATGTGATATACAGAAGGCTAGATTTGTTACATTGATCGATAAGGACCTTGCATTTTAAGAAACTGAATAACCAATGATGGGCCTCCTGCAACTATCTCTGGAGGAATTTGTGACAGAGGACAATTCTCGATTGACATAATACTAAGATTTGTGCATAAAGCTAGTTCAAAAGGTAAATTATGTAAATTAGCATTATCATTAACATAGAGAGAATCTAAATTTTCTAACGTGCCAATTTCTTCAGGTAGATAATTAAGATTATTCTCTCCTACGCTCAAATGCGTTAGATTTGTTAGATGGCCAATCGCTCGTGGTAATGAAGTTACTTGGTTTGACTGCAAGATTAATTTTTGTAAGTCTCGTAAAAATCCAATTTCATTAGGAAGAGACTCTATTTTATTTTCTTCAAGATCTAGGACCCTGAGTTTACGTAAATTTGCTATACTGGCAGGAATACGTTTCAATAAATTATTAGATAGAATTAAGATCTCCAAGCTTTGAAGACATTGAATATCATCTGGAATTTTTGTTAGCTGATTTGTACCAAGATTTAATTCAACCATGTTGATCCATGTTCCAGTATCCAAAGGTAAAGCAGTCAACTGATTTTCTTTCATGTTCAGCTTTGTTAGGTTTTTAGCCCTAGAGAAAATACCATAAGGTATTTTATCAATCTGATTATGTTCAAGATTGATAGAGTAGACATTTGTAAACTGAGATGGTCCTCCCGACGGATATGCAGTAAATGCATTTCTGGACAATGTAATTGTCTTCAAATCAGAAAGACTCGAGAGCAATCCATCTGGCAGTTGAGAAACCTGATTCCCTTCTACACTGAATTCATCCATTAACTTACAGTTTGCTAATGATTTTGGGATACTAGACAATCGATTATATCGAAGGCCTAATCTCGTGATCAATACCAAATTTCCAATTGTATCCGGTATATCCAGTAGTTCATTATGCTGAAGATCGAGCGTAGATAGTTGGGTACAGTTTCCTATTTCTTCTGGTAAATGTTCCAGATGATTATGAGATACGTCGAATGTTATTAAGTTAGTAAGTTTGCCAATACCGGCTGGAAGTTCCTTGATTTTATTTTCTCTCAGACTAAGCATAGTTAAATTCGTTAAATTTCGTATATTTTCATTAACATACCTGACGCGATTAAAGCGTAAAAACAATGTAGTGAGAGATGTTAACTTGTAGACAACATCAGGTATCTCGTTCAATTTATTATGCCTCAGATCAAGGACTTTTAAAGATTTCAAATTTTCCAATGTACTCGGTAGACTCGTAAGAGAATTTTCGCTCAATGCCAAAGTCTCTAAATTGGCAAGACAACCTATTTCTGCCGGAAGAGTTGCTAATTTGTTACCGTAAAGATAGAACTCAACTAGATGCGTCAAATCTCTAACCGTGCTCGGTAGATTAGTGATGCTTGATTTACTTAAATCGAGACGCTTAACGCATTCGTCCTTGCATCTTACGAATTCTTTCGAGACATCCAAGTCAGCTTGAATCGGTTTTCCTTTCTTAGTGGTCGGTTTAGGCTTATTTGACTCAGGATGTTTGACAGTTACGGTCTTTTTCGTATCAGGTCCCGCTATGGAAGCACTAGATAATTTTTTCTCCTTCAAGTGCTCCCTGTTATCTCGTAAAACCTCCACGGCCTCGGGCATGTCGCCGGCCGTGCAAGTTGTCAGACCACAGCCCTCCAGATATTCGGGTATATCCTGCTCCTTCATGTAAAATGTTGGAAGATTATCCTGGAGGTCTCCTCGGTCCCTCTTCACCTCCGATAAACACACTGTCGAAATATTACCCACACCCGTCCAATATTTAGTCGACTTTTTCATAATCTAAACCACTAGACGCGATTACGGACTCTCACGCGAGTTTCTATCTTTTTCAATAGTATTTACAACATCACATATTTTTATCAACTCTCCTTCTTTTATGACTCTATTGACATTATTGACGTTCGCCTGACGCGGCGCAAACGCGGAACGGATTTGGAAACGGTGATATACGATAGGTAAACTCTCTTTTATATATATATTATATATATATATATATATATATATATATATATATATATATAACGTTATATACGTTATATACGTTCTAGACGTTCCTCTTCGAAAAATTTCCACAAATTCTTCTAAATTGTTAACATCGCTCGATATAATATAAATATTTTTTTGAATAATTTTTTTCCAATTAACGTTCCCAATTAAATTAATACTGACGGGTATCACAGAAACTTAAATGTTAGATACACAATCCATATCCAATGTACTACTCGCTTATTCCATTTTCTATAATTACGTTACTTGCGCAGGACCACTCGTTCGCTATCGTTGCAGCTTTATGCGAAGTTGCTGCTCTTTCGGATTCTTCGATCGAACCTTAGATTTATCGATTCATCTTAATCTGGCTTTTATATATACTGTTGGTATATGAAATTGTATAAAACAATTTGTTATTATCATTTTATTATGATTGGATAAACTAATGCAAGATCATCGAATAGGCTTTCAGAATTTGGACCAATTATTGTACGGGTTTTTCTTATAAAGCAACTTTTCGTATAGAATAACCAATCACATTCAATACTTTTAAGAATTTCCGTAATGATATAACAATGCAGGGGGAGCAGATTTATATAAAAAGAACATACAAGAGAATGTTACTCGTTCTTAAACAAATATAAATTCATTAGTACGCTTTTCCTTCAGAAGAATATATATATATATATATATATATATATATATATATATATATATATATATATGTGTTATTTAAGGGTGAACAAATGTACCATTAAAAAACAAGTATTTCTTATTATATACAAAAGTCTTCGGCTTTGAAGTTGTGGTAGGAGAAACTTTTATACGATCCAATAAGTTTAATATATTTTATCCATTTATACAGGATTTTATACAATTTATTGTCAATCACATTTAAATATTAATTGATTTTTTTAAACATTATGAACACCTTCATATACTTTCAATTTATGAGATCATTCAATGTATCTCTTTTATATCTTTTAACTTATATTAATAATTTTCTATATAATTTTCTATTTTAATTATTAAATACGGTTATATTTTCTTCCAAAAATACGGAAATGTTTTGTCTCATATAAACGCTAACATTTATTAAAATGACTAGCTTTATGTTAGCATGATAATATGATATTATCCTATACATTTGTATAAATATTTAATGGAATTTTGAGTTTGAAACTCTACTTTGATAATAATTTTTCCATTTGCTTTTACATAATTATCACGTGTTCACATTGATAAAATATAAACAGAAATTTTTTATGTAAGCATATGAAAAATTAAAATTTATACAAATAAATTGAGCTAATATCGTAAAATTTACTACAAAATTTACATCATAAAGAACTTGATTTACTTTTTTCAACTGATTGAATCATAGATTTTGCATTATGCGGGCTTTCTAAAAATTCCTTTTTATTCGTACTATCATTTGCCATTTTTTGTTGTTCTCGCTTGGCTTGAAGCGCTTTCATATATGCAAGAAAAGACGTCCAGATGAAACTGCAAACACTTACATAAACTACACGATTATGTTCTGGAATTAACACAAAGTTAATAGTTTGTAAAATAGGCCATACGCATACTCCGACCTAAAAATAAAACAAAATATGATTTTTATTTATAATTTCATCATTTTAGTTTTTATTATACGATTAAGTGTACCTTGTAAGTTGGCCAGAATTTCTGTTTTACTTCTTCAGCACATTCTGAAATAGACTTTTGTTCTAGTAAATTCATTCCAAAGAAAAAGCAACACATAGCAGTCGGACTATACGTAACTTGTTCTACCAATGCCTGTAAAAAATTCATGTATATGTATATATATATGTCTGTATACTGACACATTTTTACTCAATTACATCGCAATATAATATTTTGTAAAACTTACTTTTGTGATTGCAGATTTAAAATCAGATTTTGGCCAAAAATGTGAAGCGCATCTTAACCAACAATATAAAGTTGGTGCTACAAAAAAGCCACCATACAAACTAAATCTTAATGCTTCTGTATAATTCAATTCTGGTCTACCTGTTATTTTTTGCTGAAATAAGCTTGCGGTTGGCCAAATAATAGCATAAGATGCCATACCTCGTACAATAGGATATTTTTGAGATACTTCACGAAATTTTACTAAAATGATTCGCATTTTTTTTTAAATATAAAATCACTAAAACGACAAATTATTCATTATTATTTATTTTCTGACGTTCATCTTGCACACTTCAATAATCGTATGTTTTTATTTCTTATTAAACTTTATGCAATTCAATATTAAATGTATTAGTAATGAGGAATAATACAGATAATGTAGAAAAAGGATAGCTTAAAAAAAAGAAAAGATTACGTTTTCAGATGACGAAGAATGCAAATCTACTGTTCTCTCTTTCACATGTTTTTATATTCACGTACTGATAACAGTTAGAGTAATATATAAGTAAAATAGGCGTTCGTATCTAATCGAAAAAATTATTGCGAGACCAATTTACGATATTCCTTTGTGAAGATTTCGAAGAAATAGCTATTTGACAATATCGCTGCATTGGGAAACGATTCGCTACTACGGAAAACTCGCGCATATTCCCAATGACACAGACAAGACTTATGCGCGACACGCGCAAAACTCCCGCCGGTGACGAAATTAGTCGATCCATTCTTGTCTGTCCTTGATTACTCAGTGGTGGTCCTTAACCACGGTCTTGGTTGAGTTTGGTTCTATCTTCACCGTTGCGCAAGCAACGAGTTTTTCATTTTCTGTTACCATGGTGATGCGTCGTGCATGATAATCCAAAAAAGAAAATCTTAGATTTGATAATGTCTGACGTTTCGGTAAAGCTTCTTTCGAAATACAAATGCTGACGCTTAAACGCGTCATACGTGTACTATTATTAATATAAACGTGCTATTCTAAACGTAGTACGTAATAAAAGGAAACGTTTATTTCAACGATTTTTTTTAACAATTTAAATACAATTAGATCCCTGTTTGGAAGAAAAATATTAACTTTTAATTTAAACTTTCTAATATTTTCCAAATATATAATTTTTCCTTTATTACGTAAACAATATCGTACAAAGTATATAACTCAATAATTATCTATAGATATTTATAGATATCAATTTTATAAAAAGTTCAAAAAGCTAAAAATTCCATAATTATACGTAATGTACATTTCAAGTGATATTGTCTCATATATAATATATGGATCAAGATAATTATCAAAAACAAAGCAAAACATGTACATATATTTTTGTCAACATAAAATAATTAAATAAAAAATTGCTAATTTGCATAATTATACTTCAACTCAAAAATGCTGCTTTACAATATTTAATGATTAAACGATATAAAATAATATTAGTAAATTGGGTTCTGTGTAAATACAGATATAAATTTTGCATCATTAATTTTATCATATACTGTGTCAAATGTTCAGAATTATTTTTAAATACACCATGTATGAATTGATTTTTATACAGATTTTTTGATCACCTTGCATTAGCCTTTAATGATAAAAAAATACTGCACATTCTAATATTCGTGATTTACATCCATTATTTAAAATTATATACACTGCATATTAGCATCAATTAATAATATTAGAATAATTCCACTGATGCTGTGAATATTCAATTGCCTAAGTTGTCCATTGATTTTTGAAAACTACTAAATGTAATTTTCACTTTGCTGCGATGTCAAATAAATCAAAAATCCCTTCATTTTCACTAAGATTAAATTGGTAATCTTTTTCTCCTGGCGGTGGACTTAATCTGACAAGTGGACCACAAACTATAAATAAGCAATACATGAATTTGATAAGACATTATAATATAGAAAATGTTAAAAGAATTAACTGAAAAATTTACTTACTGTCTGAATAAAATTGATCAAGTATTTCAAGTTCTCCTTGAATAATATCTATAATGAAATAAATTAATTTTAACTAAAGATAAATAAAAGTTATTTATAATATCAACATTAAAGAATTATGAGTAATTTCTATTTACCAGATGTATTTACATCACGAAGAACTATTTTTGCTTCTATTAATTCCGGATCATCTTCATCTTCTTCGTCGGATAATGTAGAGCCATGTTTGTTGATACCTTTTGGTGGTCTATAAACATATATTTACATGCTATTACATATATCTATACTTTCTAACGTTTAATTACTAAATGTTTTGTTCTATGCAAAGAATAATTAATAAAATAATATTTTTGTATGTTTTATACCAAATGAACAACATATTCTCAATAGTTATTCATCCCCTTATAAAACCAATATTGTTACTCTTTGCTCTGACCAGATCAATAATATTACTTTTTTATTATTGATACATAAAGAGCAAATATTTTTCTTACGAAAATAACACAGATATATTTTAATATCAATTATTTATTAAATTATCCTTAAAATATAATTTATTTGTTAAAATTTTTACCTTCCTACTTTTCTCTTTGGTTTAACGTTGATCTCCTCTTTCTTCTCATCATCTTCTTTTACTCTCTTCATACCTTTTGATTCTTCTTGTAACCTCATTTCTAATACTTTATTATCATAAGTTTTTGCTAAATCTGGTTGAACCATATATACCTTAATTTCACCTGAATTACTTTTTAAAAGCATTTCATAATTTATTTCTCTTTCTTCATCCTCTGCTATCTAACAAATAAAACACTTTTGTTACTACTCAATAATGAATAGATGGTGCCTTATGATATAATATATTTTCACGTACATTCACCTGAGCCATATTTGGCACACTTAATTCTGTATCTGGTGGAGCTTGAATTCCTAATACAAAATCATCAGGGAAATTTTCTTTGACATCTTCATAAGAGATGTATGCATACTTTTTATTAACTATATCGTTCTCTATATTTTTTATACTTTGTTGAATCCACTGTGTATGTGTATCTAATAAGTGTTCATGATCCTCTAATTTTTTAATTTCATCTTTCAAATCTGTCAATTTTTCACCAACTTCTTGTGTATTACAACCAGGACCTGCACCTCTACATAAGATATAAAAAATTAGTGTTTATTAATAAATTTTACTTTAAAATATTAGAAATTAAATGAAATATAATAATAAATTTGCATACATACTTCCATTGAATACTATTTTTGCTTTTCTTCTCTATAAGACCAATGCCCTCAAGGACATTTGTAATGTCGTAAATCCGTCTTTTTTGTCTAACTTCTAGAATATCTGCAGCCTGCAATATTACAAGTAGATATTTTTTTATCTTAATTAATAAATATAATATTGATATAAAATGATGGTATCATATTCGTAATTCTTTATGTTTAGGTTATGTTTACCCATATATTGAATAATGAAAAATTATTAATGTAAAAGATAAGATAAGTAGAAATGAAGTTTTATCATCTTTAAATTTTTCTTTAGAAAGAGATTTACAAGACTTGATAAAAATTATCATATTATTGGTATACTTCTTTCAAAATTCCCGCAAGCTAGAAATGGCGTGTACATCCGTAACGACTTAACCTCGTATACAAGTTAACTTTTTGTCTCGCAACTTAGTGAAAGTACTTACGACTTTTAAATCGAGAACGCCGTCTTTCGCTTTTTGCAAAAGAGTAACAAATCGAGTAGTCAGTAAACCGAGAGATTTTTCAAATCTACTTTGCTGATTATCTGCCATTTTTAAGACCGTTGTCAAAATTTTCAAAACAGACTACCCTCTTCGAAATTGCCGCAACACCTCGGACGCCATCCCAAGCAATGAATAAATAGCATTTAAATAAAAGCGCGTCTCTAGTATCGATATATTTCTCTCGTTAGAATTAATTTTCAATTATACCAATGTGTTATGGATTATTTCATTTTAAAATTAACAATTAATTTAATTTCATATAATTTAAACAAAAATTCTCTTTAAATAAAAGAGAGAATGCTTATAGCTTTTTATTCCAATGAAAGTGATATACGAGATTTTTGTGATACATAAAAATATGTGTATTATATGGTATTAAAATATTTTTAAAAATCTAACAAAAAAAATTATAAATTGTAAAACATATCAAAATTTATAATACAGCGTGAAATAAATTATTTCGTATGATCAATATGATTAAATTAATGTTATGTACAATTAAATGTTCTATTTATACCGTAATAAATAGATAATAATATTTAATCTGTATAAAATATTTACAGTAACAAAAGTATTTACAAATTTTTATTAGGGAAAAATAAATTCATTAGTTGCAGTAGTTGCATCAGGACTAAGACTGGAACTTGCAGAACTCAGAGTTTCTTCTTTAACCTTAAGCATGGATGAATCTTTATCTTTATTTTTATCTTTGTCTTTCTCTTTTTCTTTTTCCTTGTCTTTCTCCTTATCTTTAATTTTATCCTTTTCTTTTTTATCTTTATCTTTTCCATGTTTATGATCATGCTTGTGCTTATGTTTATGCTTGTGCTTCTTCTTATCTTTCTTCTTCTTTTTATTCTGACAAAATAATTACATAATAATAATAAAACAACAAACACACTCATACACAAATATACAAACAGATAGACAATAAACAAAATAAACAAATATAATAAAATTTACCTTATTAATTGAATCAGCCTTTTGTTTATGTTCTTCTGATTCTTTTTTAAACATTCCGGGTTCAAAACCTACAGGACCTTGTGTCCCCATAATACCTGGTAAAGATGCAGAATTATCGCTATAATATTCTGATTTTACTTTACCATCATTAGATACTGGTGTAACACGTCCTTCCTATTAGAATAGAATTACACATTTCCTGGTTATTATGTGATTTTTTATAATATTTTATACATACAATAAATAAAAAATGATCATACATTGTTTATTTGTTTTAGGCGTTTTACTTCTGGGTTATAATCTGTTGAATTAGATGGACCTGGTGTATCCTTATTTGGCGATGCTTTGCGTTTGTTAGCTCCACTTATATTATCTAATTCAATTACTGATTCATTTTTTATGTGTTGAATATTTGGTTTTATCTATATAATTGGATGAAGTTATTTAAACGAATTATCTCTATGACAATATATTTTTTTATAACGAAATTACATAGGAGGAGAAACTTACTTCTCGTTCTGGGCTATTTTGAAGACCAATTTTTCTAGGCTTAGTAATAAGTGCGAGTTCTGGAATTGGAAGACAAACAGGACGTTTTGTACCATATAGAGTATAGTACAAATCAACTAAATCGCATCTCAATTTGGCGTCATGTGAAAGCATCCCACTAAATAATAAAAGTATTATATAAATTTATATTTAATCGGAATAAAAAATCAAATTTATGTTTAATGACATTTAATTGTACATACTTTATTAAGTTCCAAATACGATCTACTAATTCAGATTTGTCTAAATGATGTTTCTGAACTTTTTCGAATGGTGGATTTTCAACCATTAATCTTACTAATCTATGACGTACTCCAGGATGTGGATCTGTCTCTGCCATATCCAACAAAAATTCCAAATCTTCCCACTTACCATCGACTCTTGTAAAATCTACTAAAGCTTCTAGAGCTGCAATTCGTATATCTACATTGAAAAGACAAAAATAAATAATTATATTTGGATTATACATAAATTTTACATACACATACAAACACACACAATATAAACATGTATAATATTATATCATATAAGCATTGTATATTTCATGCACATACCAATGAATTGTCCATATGCTGCATATGCTCTAAATAAATGCGGATTACTTGGAAGATGGCCAAATTTTTGTAAAATTCTTATAACTTTTAAACATGCTACACTAACAGTATATTTATAGCAAGGTAATAATTTTTCTAAATTCAGATTCCTTGTAACTTCTTCTAATATAGCTTTTGTATCAATTGATAAAGATTCTGCGGTAATAGCTGTCCTAACAAATTTAATGAATAATAAAATTAGGTTTATATGATTG